AGATGCCCATCATCCTGTGGAGATGTTTGTTTGGGAGCTCCCCAGAAGACCCTAATGTCTGTTTAAGACATTAAAGAGAGAGATTTTTTGCTATAGGGTGCATGTGCTGGCCAAAGAGGCGGATAGCAAGAAATCAATCCCTGGGGGGATGACTACACCACAGTCTGTTCTCTTTTATTCTTCTCTTGAGATTTTAGGTGCACACACACTGCCTACAGCATGAGTTTCAAGCCACCAGTTCCAGGACTTGAATCCGCTGTAGGCAGCAGTAAAACCATTACATCATCTGCTGGTCCCAAGGTTTTGGTGAGTTTAACACATTCAAAGGACCTGCATCCCCTTCTCCTCAAAGGCCTCTATTGCAATTACCAGTTTCTTTTCGGGTCCAAGATCATTCATTTCCATTAGACACCACATGCTCTCAGAGCTCCTGTAGCCACCACCTCTTTTTTTCAGCATTCCCATCTCCAAATACCTTTATATGCAGTACTCTGCTGTCACCAACGCAAAGCTTTACTGCATTTTCTCCTGCAAACGTACATGCCCTAAGGACTTATATCCTTCCTACATGCCTGGAATTGCCTTCAAATTTCAACAATTCCCTGTGCATCTAGGAAATTTGTTCTTGATGTCTCTAGATCTTTCAGTAATGTTCTTTTTCTTGGTAGAAGAGACAAACAAGGGGCCAGCAGGTGACGTGGTGGTTAAGGCACTAGATTTCCTCATGACTAGCTGCAATTTGAGTCCCAGACCTGGTGGCTTGAAACACAGGTGCATGTGTGGATGCATGTGTGCCAAAAATCCCAAGAGGAAAATGGAGAAGAAAGGACTGTGATGTGGTCATCCCCCTGGGGATGATTTCTCACTTTTTTTCTCTGTCTCTGTCTGTCTCTCTCTCCCTCCAAGGAGCACAGATGCCCTATGGTAAAACCTAAATAAATAAATAAATAAATAAATAAATAAATAAATAAATTGAGAGAGAAAGACACCAATAACAAGCAAACTCCATGTTATCTTCATTTATGTTTAATGATACCACATAGTCCTTATTTCCTCTCTTTGTCATTGTTGGCTTCTGCTCTGCTCAAGCTCGAAATGCTGGAGGGTGCTTCAGAACTCAGACATTATTGTTCTCAATTTATGTCCACTCCCTAGATTGCAGTGCCTCCTCACCTAGTCACGTAGTTTTCAATGCCATCTATTCACCATTAGCTCCCAAATTTCAATCCTCTGCCACAAAACTCCAGAGAAGCCCAGTCTCATATATCCAACTATCTACTTAGAAGCTGATTGTTTTAGGGCCAGCAGGTGGCGTGGTGATTAAGGGCACTGGACTCCCACATGGGTGACTGTGGTCCAAGTCCTGGACTTGGACTCAGCTTGCTTTCTTACTTCCCCCCACCCCTTGTCCCTCTCTGGTCAAATTAAAATAAATAAATAAAGTTAAATAAAATGATTCTTTTAAAAAGAGAGAAAAAAGGAAATAAATAATAAATAAAAATAAGCTGATTATTTCATTTGGATGTCATTTTTTTAAGTGTAACTGAAGCACTTAAATATTAATTCCCCTTCTCTGTTTCTATAAACAGTACCAGTTGCTGTAGCCAAGTCTCACAATTGTTCATGTTCCTTTTGTCCTTTCACCAACACCTAATTCACCAGCAACTTCTGCTGATTTTACATCTAAGACACATCCCAAATTTGTCCCATGTTTTCCCTTTCTGTGGTAGTCCTAGTCACCAATTAATCTTCCCTAGATAACCACCTTCCACTCCTAAACCCTCCCTCCCAAGTGCTCCTCAGCATGAAGGATAATCTTTAAAGGCAATGAAACATCGCATTTCAGCTTGAATCACCTCCTGCCATACCCACACTCCCATTACACTTAGAATAAAACCCCAAATCTGTACCATAAAGAAACTTTGAAGAGTCATAGTTATCTTTTGTCTTGGAGGAGTGCTAAATATTGGTGCTGTAAAATATAACAATCTTTTTCGTTTTATTTAAGAAATAAATACCAATTAGATACTCTAATAGCTAGAAGTTTTAGTTTTATGGCTATTTTTGTACATGGTCTGTGGTAGGGATCTATTTTTTCCCCTGACATTTAATCATGTTTCTGTATATAAGCAGGTCTCATATACAGAAAAATTCAGGAGAGTTCCTGAACTCTCTAGTCTGTCCCATTGGTCCATCTGTCTGTTTCTGAGCATTAGCACAGCATATTAATTATTACAACGATATCTTGATATTGAAGAGTCATTCTATGTTGTTTTTGAAAAGTATCTGGTAATACTTAACTCTCTTTCAATTGGATTTTTAGAATCAGCTTGTCAAGTTTGATGAAGTATCCTATCCAATTTCAACTGACATTTTATTAAATCCAGAGAACAATTTAGAGGAAACTGAAAATTTTATGAAAATATTATTATAAGCCCTCCCATCTTTGACCCTGGTCTGTGTCACTATTTATGTCTCCTATTGCCATCAACAACATAATATTTTTTCTATAAAGGTCTTATTTGACTTTTTCCCCTTATTAATGTAATAATTGATCATTTCTAATTTTTTTAACAATTTCAAATTTACAGAAAAGTTGCAATCATAATACAAAGATTTCTCACCCAGTTTCACCTGATGTTAATATTTTACATAACCTTGCCGCATTGTTAAAAAGAAATAATATTGTGCCCGCTTCGGCAACACATATACTAAAATTGGAACGATACAGAGAAGATTAGCATGGCCCCTGTGCAAGGATGACACGCAAATTCGTGAAGTGTTCCATATTTTTTTTTGAGAGAGATTTTCGCTATAGGGCGCGGCGCTCGCCAGACAGACAGAGAGATACATAGAGACAGAAAGCGAGAAATCACCCCCCAGAGGGGATGGTCACGCTGCAATCCCTTCTCCTCCATTCTCCTCTCGGGATCTTGGGCACCCACGCACACGCGCCCGGCGTGAGTTTTTTAAGCCACCGGGTCCAGGACATGAACCGCGGTTGACTACGTGGGAGTCCAGCGACATAGCCATTACGCTAACTGCTGGTTCCCATGTTCCATATGTTTTTTAAAAAAGAAAAAAGAAAGAAAGAATATTAGCACAAAACTATTACTTAAGCCATAGGCTTTTTTTTTTTTTCTTCCATTTTTTTCCCATTAATGTCTTCCTTCTGTTCCAGGAACCCACCGAGGATATATTGCATTTAGTCATTCTTTCTACGTAGGCTCTTCCAGGTTGTGACGGCTTCTCAGTATTCCTTGTTTCTCATGATGATGACAATTTTTACTAGTGAATAATTTTGCAGACTGTATCTCAGTCTTGATTTGTCTGGTATGTTCTTAAGACTTTGACTTGGGTTATGAGTTTTTGAAAAGAA